ATTTCGACGCCAAGTATTCCGATATTTTACATGTAGACAGCAAACAAGAATCACTTAAGTCTCCTCTGAAAAGCTCCGCATTGGAAATAAACTGAAGCGATACGTAAAATGTGCAAAACGACGTATAGAAAATAGGAGACATAATAAATGTGTTATGTGCAATGAACACTTGTGCTTCACAAGTAAACGAAATTGTTTCGTAGAATACCATAACTAACTATTTATTTTACTTTTCTGATAATTTTTACTGTGTTTTTTGTATTATAAAGCAATAAATAAAATACCGATAAAATAAACCTTACTCTTTATTTATTTACTTTTATGGTCCATAGGGAAAAATATTTCCCATGAAATTATAGGAAACCTATACATCCTTCTATGTTTTTCTGGAGATATCCTCTTACTTTATACCCACAATAGCTAAAATATTGTGTTGTATAGGCATATTTAGTCTTGGACATCTTATGGTCCTGTAAGGGTTAACTATAACTTAGTTCTTGCTCATCAAATTTCATTATCCTTATAACCAGTTATTCTGGTTGAAATGAAATAGAACTATTCCTATCCTACAAAAAATCTACCTAATAATATTTATACCAGGGTGACACTGAAAGTAAAGTGAGAAAATTCGGTCCACAATTTATTACGGTTTCAGTTGTAATCTTAATCAACAACATAGCTATGAAATACTTATATCGGCATTTAATAATAAAGCCCCATCCCGTGCCACTGTTTATAATCTTATCCTTTAAACGAGCAATTCTTGTATATATAAATATATATATATATATATCTTCTAATCTATCTAATCATCTATTAAATAAATTTATTTTCACATTCACATTTTCATACAGGTTCGAAACGTCGGGAACTAAAATTAAAAATAAACGCGATAAATCCGTAAAATTAGTTTCAGTGTATCTTTCGTACAACCATTAGCGTTGACTCAAACTAGTCCAACTATGGGTGTGTTCTACTAAGCGCTGACAATGATCACGCTCACGACCGCGGTTTTTCCTATTCCACTTGCCTAGGAGCCTGTAAAAACGAAAGCTCAAGTGGAGTGGACTATGAAACATTTTAATGTTTTATCGTTTATATGAACATAAGAGCCGTGATAGCTCAGTGTCCGGGCGCTCGCCTTTAATTCAATATACTCGAGCAACCTGAGTTCGATACCCGGTGCTGGCACCAATGAAGTTTTTAACTTGCTTTAAGTTTTTAAGTGCTGTCTTAACACGTGCTCCGCGGTGAAGGAAAACATCGTGAGGAGACCTGCATATTCTCGAAATAATAAAAAAAAATATTTCGAAGATATGTGAAGTCCGCCATTCCGCAGTGGGGCCGCGTGGTGGACTATGCCCTGATACCCTATATAGAGGCCTTTGCCCAGCAGTGGGACATGTATAGGCTGTTACTTTTATGAACATAACAAATGACTAGCTCTTTACATGGGTTTATTACAAGGGTTTATTACATTTATACATTAACTTTTAAAAACCGCGCCAAATTTCTCAACCTCTTCGACCAAGCTCTACACAGTTCAAATGGGTGAGTTGGTGTGTGCGAAATGAAATGACGTCATTAGTGACGTTTTCGCCACAATTGGAACGACCGTGGTCAGGCGTGGTCCTTGTGTGGAACGGCTGATGAAATATTTTGATCGTCGTGAGCGCTTAGTTTAACGCACCGGGCCGCTTTTTACTGAATTTGTTAGCAGGTCTCTAAATTAATTGTATTATGTATTGTCCTTATGCTAAGGGATTCGAAATAGCATTTTCTTAACTATAGATATTACAACTAAAGGAAAATATGAAAAATGCTAAAAATTATGAAAGCGTGTGATTAATAACATTTGTCTTTAAGCAACTTGATACATCGATTTAATCTCTTAAAATTATTACAATCTTAAAATATCAAATTCTATGGTGAATCTTTTCTATATTTATTTTTACTAAATGGACGAAAGCACAACATATAAATTACATTATCTTTTATTTTGATAAAATATATTCGAAATTTACGTGTCCCCAAAGTTATACAAGTGGTTTCAATAAATTAGTATTTATAATTAGTGAGTCGTTTATACAACATTAAGTACATTCACAAACACAAAATATGGTGAGCGATATTTTCTTATGCTCACATGCATAAGAAAAAAATGTAACTGGTTGTGTCATAATTTCATTAAAATAAATTATAACTTAATTAATTGATAAATATTAAAATAATTAATTGCGCATAATATTCAAGTTTCCGGTATTATACATATTTAACTCTTCACAGAAAAAGTGACGGAATATTAGTATATTCCGTCACTTGTAAATGTAAACTGAACTTGCAGCTACTAGTAGCTGCAAGTTCAGTTTACATTTATCTTATACCTCTTGAAGAAGAGTAATGTGCTGATACTTGAGTTTTATTTAAACTTTTTTTGAAAAACTTTAATACTGGCTTAATGTTTTAATATGTCAATTATGAAATAATTAAATTAATATTTTAAGATATTGCTAAATTTTTGTATGTATTGCAATTTATTTCATTACTTTTTATCGATGTATTTCACTATTTCATACTAACCTACATTATAAACAAAAATGAATGTACATAAGGTATATATCCTAGTCAACTCTGTTCTGCCACAATAATTTAATAACAATATTAGGGCTTAAGAGGTATATTTTTGTGAGAAAGGTGTGATTTTTTTTGTATCAAAATATAAACCTCGTGGAAACTATTTTTCATACCATGTTTAAAGACAGACACTGGACATTCTAGCAAGATTATGCGCCAACTCTAAGAGCTAAAATCGAGGGAGTAATTTTGGATAAGTTTTGTATATTATTAAAGTTCCTTTTAGTATATAAACGGTTACCATAACACACACATTTATACATACACAACAAACATGTGGCAAAACTTATGACCTGACTAGGTATATATCACTTGAATTAATTTGCCACAGTATTTCTTGTAGTATCGCTAATTTCTAATTTCTGACAATGATAATTTTTGAGAGGTTTTACAACAGACGCTACAACAGAGTTTAAGCAACTACCTGTACAAAGGCATAAATTAAGTGAGATTTATGTGTTACTAATAGTCAACTTTTGATTTGATGATTTTTTTGTTTTCCCGAGGCCACGCGCTTAAATGCAGGTTCTGCAATTTTGGGTTTCGTCTTTGGAATTTGAGGGATACCCGGTGGGACAAAGATGACAATATTCGCACCAACTAAATCAATATTAATTAATTACAACTCACGAATAACATTACATTCGAAACTATGAATTTCGTAAATATGAATGAATCCAACATGGAGTATATATATACACTTTACACGTTATCGTATTTACGAAATGTAGGTTACATTGAAGCATCCCTCGATCACAGTGCCATCTAGATTTTCATTCAACATTGAAGCCCCTCTTTTGGAACATAGAAAGACGATAGAATTGACAATTGATATTCTGCCGAATTGTATGACCTGATTGTAAGATCGTGCCTCAGACCTATTAAGTCAATCTGAAAAAATAAACAATTCATTAAATTCTATGGCGACAACATTTACTCTTCACTCTATGTTACTGTTTGAATCTTAACAGTAAAAGTATTATTCTATTTTGTACAATCGTAACACATACTGTATACAGCGTGTCTTTACAATCGCGACAATAAATGAACACATATATAGAGGATACATTTTTAAAATTGTATTAAACATTTACATTCTTTAAATATCAATATTTACCGAGTTACGAAATTTTCCAAAACATCGAATTTTAGAATATCCTTACGTATAAAACTGTAACGTAAGTTCGTTTGTAAAGGTCACAAAGCATATGAATGGTTTGAATGAATTTGAAAGAGACAAAATATACTAGAAGTATACTACTAACGAAACATAGTTAGAAGGAGAGGCTTGTACTGCGACGCTGTGGCAACAAATGAAAAAGTCTCTGAATGTATGAATCAGTCAGTTGTAGTTGTATAGGATGTTACAAATTTTGTTTCTTTTTTACTTAATTCGTTTGTTTGAAAAATATTTATTTTTAATTATGGATTTTTTTAACGTTCATATTTTTTTATGATTATTGGCAAGTAGCGTTAGACGTGTGTTCATTTATTTTCGCGATTGAAAAGACACGCTGTATAAAGTTTTGCCTTCGGCACTTCTCTAAATAAACTATTTATGTCAAATCTCACACTCCTTCCTACGTAGTCGTCGTAAAAGGATTCGCTTTACATATTAATGTTTAGATATTTATAAAGATTCTTCACTTTAAACATCTTTAAGTTTTTTTTGCTAATAACCTTTATATTAAATAATAATCTCATTCACATAGGACATGTCTTTAAAAAAATACTATTATCTGTGTCCCTACAGTTTACAGTTGAAGTGAAACCAATCTCTTAATATGATAACTATTACTACACAAAGTCAACACCTTTGCCATTACACAGATATATTGATTTGAACCAACAGGTTTACAAAAATAGAATAAGTATTGAAATAATTATGAAGACAATAAGCACCTTTCAAATTACTAATTTCTCCTATTTACGCGAATATAACACATTTTAATACAATTAATTTACACATTTTATCACTGTTTATTTTAATTTAAAACTACTAAGGTTTCGAATACTTTACAGTATTCGTAGTCACAGTTCGGTGTCCATCTCGTAAAGTATTCGAAACCTAGATAGTCAAAAATTAAACTAACCTTTAAACTAATAACAATAAAGAGCGATTTACATGCTGTCAGGCTATGATAATTTTATACGTATGCACCGAATAGATAGTTTGGAATGAATGGTCTGTTCTTATGAACATATAATATCTTCTTTGCTACTTCATCGATAAAAACCACTTCGCTTAGTGGTTACTACATCTGCTATTCGCACAGAGCCTAACGTCAAAGTAGACCGGCGGACTATTGACATCGAGGCTTTAAAACGTCGTCCGAACTGCGATGAATAAGCCGGCTCCGGCGCTACGTCTTCTTCTTGAAGATGCTCTGCAGGTTGATGTTGGTCTTCGAGTGCTGGAACATTTGCGTGACGCGCCTGCCCACCTCCTGCGCCGCCTGCAGGTTGGTGGGGGGCTTGGGCTCGCGAAGTGGCTCGCTCGGGCCCGACCCCGCCGCGCCGAGCAGCGCCTCTATAGCGGGCCGGTATTGCGACAGCGCTGGCGCCTGCACCCTCTCCTCCAGTTTCCTGTGGACGTTGCGAAAACATCCAACAATATAATTTTTTTTTATTTTGAAATACCCCTCTGATCACTACGCCGGTTGAGTCTCTGAACGTATTTGTAGGTGAACAAAATTTTCTCTCCCGTTTCCGTGGGTTGTCGAGCTTACAGCACATCTCTGTCTACCTTGTAACATTTAAAAAGATTAGCAAAACAATGGCCTATTTCATTATTCTCAGTTTGTTTTTTCGGGTATCGGTTGATTTGTCGTAGACGTCTGTCTATATTCACGGAGTGTTGAGTATCCCAGTGTATAGAAAGTTTAGTTAAAATAGGATACAATAAGGATACTGTGGCATAAGTCCTACGATTATACAAAGAAAGCACTAAAAATTGTTAGAACATTCTCGTATGCTATACTTATGAAATACTACTCATACTCTACTCCATAACTGTACCTTAGGGCAGGCAGTAATGCGGGATGGTGTCGGTAGTGATGTACCGCCAGCTGCAGGCCGGGAGTGAGCGCAGCCATCCATTCGCTAGAGACGGCGTTGTGATGGCATAGCGCACACAGCAACGTTACCGCTATAATATTTAAAAAAAAAAACGTTGACATGAACAGGTCAAAATAGATTAATTTATACTTTTGGGCTTTGTCGGTCGAATGAGATCAACGACAAATTCGAGAAAAAAAAGTTCCATAAGCGCCCACCCCGGTCGCAGACGACGCGGCTGTCGGCAGAAATACTTCAATAAGCGCCAACCCTGATCGAAGACGGCGTGACTGTCGCAAAAAAAAAGTTCAATAAGCGCGTACCATGATCGAAGACGGCGTGGCTGTCGCAAAAAAAAAGTTCAATAAGCGCGTACCGTGATCGAAGACGGCGTGGCTGTCGACGGTGGGCAGCACTAGCAGCGCCAGGGCCTCCGCGAGGCGGGCCGCCTCCCGGGCGGTGAGGGGCTGCGCAGCGGAGAGGCGTTCCTCGAGCGGCGGCCAGCACTGCGCCGAGCAGCCCAGCCGGCGGAGCACGCACGCCCGCGTCACGCCGCCCCACGACGCGATACCCGCCTCGCGGACCGACCTGGGTTTATTTATTTAAGCTTCGTTGCTGCACCTTAAGCTAACGACTACAATGGGCGGAATTAACGCCATATGGAATTCTCTACCCGTCAACCCTTGTTATGGTGAAAAGTAGATGGTAGAAGTTAATAGATGTGCCATAAAATGTAACATATATGCAATAGTATATAAGTAGCAGTGAATAGTATATAAGTAGTAGTCAGTGCATATAGCATATAAGTAACATATAAGCAATAGGTACATAAATAAGTAAATATGTAGATACATACATATATGTATAGAAATAAATAAATCCGAAGATTGCGCAATGTCTTCCCCATCTCTACAAAAGTTGCTCTGGCTCAGTCTCCTTTTCTACCGATCCTTGACTACGAGGACACTTGTTATCCGGATCTATCTGAGGAGCAACTTAATAAACTTGAGCGGCTTCAAAATTAATGTATAAGGTTCATATTTGTGTTGCGAAAGTATGACCACATCTCAGAATTCCGCCATAAGCTCAAGTGGCTCCCGATTCGTCTTCGCAGGAATACTCATATTCTTCATGTTCTTTACTGCATTCTGTTCAATCCCACCACTCCTCATTATTTAGAAGATCAATTTATATATCTAAATGATTTACACTCTTTTTCTCTACGTTCTCAAAATAATTTTCTGCTAAGTACTCCTAGTCACTCCTCTTCCTTCTATGCTAATTCTTTTACGGTTTCTGCTATACGTCTTTGGAATTCTCTTCCTTTAGATATTAAACAATCTAAGTCTCTTCACATTTTTAAAACGAAATTAAAATGTCATTACCTATCCTCTTAATATACTATCTGTCGTCCATGCTATATCTTTTTTTTCCTGTCTATATGTATATATAAATATATATATATATTTTTGTGTATTTACTTTTCTTATTATGTATTTAATACACCCTACAGCTTTCTTCTTTTAATGAATCCTCTGCCCTAAGGTTGCCTGGAAGAGATCGCTGTTTTAGCAATAAGGCCGCCTGTTGTACCCATGTGTCTTTAGTTATAAATCCTTTATTCCTATTGGTGTACAATAAAGTATATTTATACTTTTACTTTACATATACGGATAATAAAAACACAAATGGAATAAGTGAAATAAAGTCAATGACTTAACGAGTATTCTCGAATTAATTTTTTGAACATATACTTATTTGGAGCTGTTTTCATCTTATAGGGAAGGGCGTTCCAGAGGAGTTTAGCTTGAACAGTAAAAGAGTTTCCGATTTATACAGCGTGTCGTTGCCATCGCGACAATAAATGAACACACGTCTAACGCTACTTGCCAATAATCATAAAAAATATTAACGTTAAACAAAATCCATAATTAAAAAAAAATATTTTTCAAACAAACTAATTAAGTAAAAAAGAAACAAAATTTGTAACATCCTATACAACTCGCGCCACAGCGTCGTAATACAAGCCTCTCCTTCTAACAGTATGTTTTGTCTCTTTTAAATTCATTCAACCCATTCATATGCTTTGTGACCTTTACAAATGAACTTTACGTTACGCTTTGATAGGTAAGGGTGTTCCAAATTCTTTGTTTTGGAAAATTTATTAACTCTGTAAATATTGATGTTTAAAGAATTTAAATGTTTAATACAACTTTAAAAACTTATCCCCTATATGTGTGTTCATTTATTGTCGCGATGGTAACGACACGCTGTATATTCTATATTTATTCACTTTATTGCAGACCGATCTGGTTTTGGGATGGCGGGCTGATTTATTTATTTTACATACATACTTCGGTTTTTATAAAACACTAGCTGACCCGGCAAACGTTGTTTTGCCATATAAATTATTTGTAGGGTAGTAAAAAATGTTTGGGACGGACCACCCTTAACATTTAGAGGTATGAAAAATAGATGTTTTCCGATTCTCCACCCTGGCCGATATGCACACAAATTTTCACGATAATCGGTCGAGCCGTTTCGGAGGAGTTCAATTACAAAACCGTGACACGAGAATTTTATATATTAGATAAAATCCCATAGTCGATATCAAGCCTGCCAGTTGATGAATTTAAAAGAAATATTAAAAGTAAACTTATGGCTAAAGAATATTGTATCACTGTGGATACTCCACAATTCCTCCTTGACGATGCCAATGTGTGGAATTAATACTGTTGATACTTATTTATTTATAAAAACTTATTGCTGATACATATGAAAATGACGGTGTACATAACATTGACAACATATGAAATAACAAAGTGGGTGTTTAGTAATATAAGTTAAAAATATTGAAAATGTATACAAATAAAATTAATGACTAATATACAGTTTTGTAAGCAGCTCTTTAAATTTATTCAGACTGCAATTAAATATATCCATATCGGTTATTTGTCTAAGTAGTTGTATTCTCTAATTAATCTAACTTGAGGGGATTGTAGGCCAAGGTTTGTTTTTATAATTGGAATGTGAAACAAATTACCAGTTTTCCATCTATTTGTTCGTGGGATTCGGGGGCGTTTAATTTTGCCATGAAGTAATCGATGTAGGAAACACATATCGATTATTCGTCTTCGGCTATTAAGGGAAGTCATCTTATAGTGTGAAAGTCTTTGGTGGTATGGATTTCGATGTGACAAACCACTCGTAAGAAAAGCTATAAATCGTGTGAAGGCACGTTGGATATTCTCAATTCGTTGCGATCCAATAGCGTAAAAAGGACTCCAACTAACACCAGCATATTCGAGATGACTGCGTACGAGAGCATTGTACAAAATAAATTTTGTCCGTAGAAGTCTAAAATGCTTGGTGTTGCGTTTAATAAATCCGAGCATCTTAGCCGCTTTAGTGACTATGTTATTAATATGTGATGTTAATTTTAATTTAGCGTCAATAGTTACACCAAGATCACGGACTCCATTAACTTCTTTTATAGTAACGCTGCCAATCTCGTACTTAGTGGCAAGCGGTTTTTTCTTTCTATAGTACTTTGGGTCTATTGTTATTTGGTATATTTACAATGTTTGATTCGGCTGGAGAGGTCGTTAATAAATATTAGAAATAGCAAGGGTCCTAAATGAGAGCTTTGGGGAACACCACTTGTAGAGTAGAATACATCCGATTGAAAGCCATTAACACTGACAACTTGCGGTCGCTTCTCTAGGATAGGATTTTAACCAACTTAACACATTACCCCCCAAACCAAAAGCTTCAAGTTTTTTATTAAGAATGGTGTGATGTACTTTATCATAGGCAATAGGATACTAAAGGATGCTAAATAAGAGTATTAAAAAAGAGCATTTGTTGAGTGTCATGCCGGTTTCTTCTCAACAGAAAAAAAAAAACAAAAAAAAAATTCTATAAAAAACATCACGTAATTAATGGACGGGAATTAGAAACGGTATTCTAAGGGAAAAACATTTGAAGACCTGTTGCTGAATTGACACTTAATGATTATGTCACTTAATATTTAATTGACACTCACACGTCGTCGTCGTAGAGCAGGGCCACCGCGGCGGGCAGCAGTTGCTTTTCGATGCACTCCTCGTTCACGTCGGCAACGTTCAGCATTTCAGTGAGGAGGTCAGCAATGTATGCGCGTATCGTGTTGCCGCTGGAGCTGTCGCAGCTGCTCGCCGCGACTGGCGGCGAATATTTTATTTTTTTTAATTTCATTCGGCACACAAAAACAACAAACGGTAATACACACATCACAATAGAGTAAATAATGACATACCATGCCATGATATCGTAAAAAAAAAAAATATACTGTCAGCCAAAAATATGCATACACAACATGCTACGATATCATGGCAACAATGTTTTTTCGGTAATTTACACTGGATTAAAAAAAAAACTAAAGAATGAAAACTACTAAAAACAAAATTAAAAAATTATAAAAATAAGAAAGGAAAAGAACAAAAAGAACAAAACATGATATGGGTAAGTTGAATGAATTGCAAGATGATGAATGACGAAGCGTGTCTATTCGTCATTCATCCCTACAGCTAGTGAATGGAACTGCCTTCCGAAGTCCGTCTTTCCCTCCGATTACAACACAGGCGTTTTTTTTTTATGTGAAAGATGCCAAGCGAGCAGGCGGTTCACCTGATGTTAAGTGAATACCGCCGCCCATGGGCATCTGCTACATCCGAGGGTTCCAGACGCGTTGACAACCTTTTGAAAATTGATCTCCGGATACCTGACGCACCAGACGAAACGCGAAAGTATTTATTATACTTCTACTTTCCGCTGGTCTTCTGTGAGGTCGTGCTACTTACCGCATCGAGCCTGCCCATTCGTGCAACAGCCGAGGCTGCTGCGTGGCCGTACCAGGTCTTCAAGCTATTCACTCTAGCTAGCGGATTTACCCTCAATTGCTGCATCGCCACTTACCATCAGGTGAAGCGCAATCAAGCGCTAGTCAATATCGAATAAAAAAAGTTTAAAGTAACATATTTTTTGTATAAAAAAACGTATTAGTAACTTCGTAGGTAAGTAAGAAATTATACTTATTTAACGTTACAATGTAACTAAAAATCTTATCCTTATTTATGACATTAAATGCAATTGATAACGGTTTAATTGATTTAATTGGGTTATAGGTGAATGTCAAAAAGGTTATTACTGGTTATTGTGGTAACACCGTTCACCTTCATCACGCAAAAAAGAAGTAGATATAACTTAAAAAATAAGGGCATATGGAAGTATGCCAGTAGAAACTCGATTGCAGTTGCTGAGCTATTGGCTTCAGTGGCGAGGGTCGTGGGGTTCGATTCCGACGCGGGAAATATTTGTGTGACGCACATAAATATTTGTTCCGGAATTAATACAAATAAGAAATGGAAACAAACGAGTGATACGAGGTATATAGCATTTATGTATGTATTGAAATGTTATCGCTACATTATATATTGAAAAAAATTAAGTGGAACAGTATTAATATGTGCAGTAAATGCCTTGTGCCAACTTCGACTTAGAGAATTCTAAAGAAATATGCTGTAAAATTATGTTATGTACATATAGGAATATGACAATATATTTCATGAGATATTCTATAAAATTATCAATTAAAATTCCCTGGATAAAACTATTTCTAAAAAAGAGAGCTTGTTATATTTAAATTTTAATTAATTAAATTTATTTTCTTTCTTAACTAAAATACATTTTTTATTACTTACATTCTCTAAGGTGCTGCCAGAAGAAATTAAGCACATCCGGCTTATGTATTGCTAGCCACTTAAGGGGCATGGAGAATATTTTCGCTGGAAGTCCTCTTATGCTGCTATATACTATCCACCTGTAAATGCAATTATTTCGTGCATTATACAGCGTGTCTTTATAATCACGACAATAAATGAACACGCACATAGGGGATAAATTTTTAAAATTGTATTAAACATTTACATTCTTTACACATCAATATTTACTGAGTTATTAAATTTTCCAAAACTACGAATTTTAGAACACCTTACGTATAAAACTGTAACGTAAAGTTCATTTGTAAAGGTCACAAAGCAAATTAATGGGTTGAATGAATTTGAAAGAGACAAAACATACTGTTAGGAGAGGCTTGTAATGCGATGCTGTGCCATCGAATAAAAAGTCTCTGAATGTATGAATCAGTCAGTTGTAGTTGTATAGGATGTTACAAATTTTGTTACTTTTTTACTTAATTAGTTTGTTTGAAAAAATATTTATTTTTAATTATGGATTTTTTAACGCTAATATTAGCGTCAACGGCTTTATCTCCACATATCATCAGTTGGGATGGCAGTCAAGCTCTGGCCGGTTTCGAATTAAAAAAAGAATACTTGACATGAAAATTATGAAAAAAAAAGTTACAAGTTTTTATATAACAGTATTAAGATTATATTGGAAATCTACATATACATACAGCTAAGGAATGGAACAACGGCGTGATTTCCGTTTACGATGTTATCTATTAATTTAAGATGTTATGTTATGACAAAATATTAAATAGATACAAAAATAATAAATATAAATACATAAATACTAATTTATGTATTTATATTTTTTTTTATATTTTTTTTTTTTAAATAAATAAATAAATTATATAATATACGTTCATACAGATAAAGTTGTAATATACATACAGGAAGACTTTTCTGAGTGTGTCCATTTTTTTCTATTAAATTCTAGACATAAATAATGAATTATAAAAAATGATAAATATTTAAAATCACTCGTAAGTAATTAATTACATTCATTTGAACTTATCTCAATAGGTGCGTGATTTATACGCACCTCGTTTATTTTACACGCGATCATTCATACCTAACACGCACATAATTTCGTTTCAAAAGTATACGACGTATTTATGAATGACTACCGCATTGTCAATAAGTTCTGTTTTCTAAGGAATGGAATGGAATTTTTTTTTTCAAAAGTATTCGACGCTTAAATATCGACACCTATCTATCTGCATTGTGACACACACACAACTAAAGTTTGTTACTACACGCGTATCACATAGTACAAGTATGTTTATGATTCCAATTATCCTTCATACTTATAATAAAGTGTCGTCATAATACTAAAATATAATAATAAATTAGTACTTTATTTTAAAATCACACACTATTGTTCGTACTTATTATGGCGTATTTAAAAAGTGGAATCAACTATTTACAACAATTAAACTTACCTATTCATTTAGTCACAAAAAACACTCACTGATATTTTAACAATTGTTAAAAATCTCAATACAAAGCTGAGCACGCTTTCTCAAACTATTTTTTAACATTACTTGTGTCTGAGCATTGCATACGCCGGTGTAGTAAATTGTCCAAAATCAAAACCTTTGGTTGGCTGCTAAAATCTCACTTTCATAAACGGTACGCGGTAAAGAGTCACTTTCATAAAGTCTTTGCGCACCAAGTAAACTTTCACCATACGTAACGAGGGTAAAAGAACGAAGTTTAACGCTGTGAACGCCGCCGCCGTGCCGGCGCGGGTTGTCTCCGTTTTATCGTGAGCGCTTAATTTTGTGTGCGTGCACAGTAAAATTTAGGTATTTATGAATGATTATCGCATTGTCAACAAGTTCGGTTTTTTAGGGAAAAAAATGGATTTTTTCAAAAAAAAAAAAAAGTTTGCTTTCATTTCAATAGACGATAACACTACCGAGTCCGTACCTCCTGTGAAAATTCGGGCACTTTTCAAAAAGACTCCCTGTATAACTACCTACCTACTACCTTCTATGTACCTACTTCTGCAAGAACTCAGCGCGCGCAGTGCCCTCTTCAACCGCGACCAGCACCGTGCACAAATACACGCCGACCACGACTGTATTTTCCAAACTGACAGCGTCCAGCTTCTCCATTCTCCGCTCCAGTTGGCCCATCATCTCGGCGAAAACTGGCCTCATCACCTTCGCAGTGAATTCGAACCCGAAACTCTTCACGTACGCGCCGAATAGTGTAATGAGATTCTCGTAAACTGTCGGGTAGTTGGCAACTTTACAGCCGCACGCCGTTTCGAGTACTTTTCTCATCCTGGAATTAGATAATCGTGTTTATTGGTCAATACGTGTGTCATCTTTGGAAAATTTATAATTATAAATTAACTAATAAGGAGTAATAGTCAACACGTGTAATCGTATCTTCGGAGAATTAACAATTGTAAATTAACTAATACAGAGGAAACAATTCTATTTTACTACTAGGTACTTAATAACTCTTTTACAGTTCATCTAATTTAAAACAAAATATTGTTTTATAGTTTAAATACAATTTGAAACAACACATCTTGTAACAATAAAGAATTATGATTTTGTTTATCATTACGATGTGCAATATAATATAAAATATAATACTTTTAAATCAGGTAAAGGAACTCACATTATTTCCAATGAAAATTCCTTTCCGAATAAACGTGCTTAGTACTTAAGTTTCATATAAAAGCTGTACAATTTGTGAATTCACAATAATAACGTAATCATTTCTCAGATTTCCGCGTACACTAAATGCGAATAAACGCGATTATCCATAAAAATGGTTTTATTTATTAAAATTATAACATCTTTGTTTGTAGGTAATTGAATAAACTTACCAATCTATAAACCAAGTAAGCTCAGCCCATCTAACCTCGGGGTTGTCCTTAATTAAGCTATTCATAGCCACCAACAACATCCTAGCGTCAACACTATCGCTCATATAACACTGGACGTCCAAAAAGCATTCCTGTTTTCGTTCCAAAGGTACGTCTTCCAAATTAATTGTCTTCATATCACAGTTATTTAGGGTAACATCTCTAACTATTTGTACATTGATCACGTAAGCGAGTTTCGCTAAAACTAATGTCATAATAACTTCTAAATTTAATAATACGCTTTTCCATTCGTTGTCTGTGCTCGACTTCACCAGATTTGTCATGACGCGACCGCATAGATCCGATACAAATTTACCTGAAAAATAGGTTTTTCACAGTTAATTGCTGATTTTACAGTTGTACTTTGGAAGCTTTGCACTTTAGAGATTTATACAGGGTGGCTTTTCTAAAGGTGCCCAAATTCACACAGGAGGTTTAGACTCGGTAGTATAATCGTTTATTGAAATAAAAACAAACTTTTTTCATTCCATTCCTTAGAAAACAGAACTTGTTAACAATGCGGTAGTCATTCATAAATGCGTCGTATGGTTTTGAAACGAAATTGTGTGCGTGTTAGTTATGAATGATCGGGCGTAAAATAAATCAGTTGCCCATAAATGACACACTTTTTGAGATAAGTTCAAATGAATGTATTAAATTAATTACGAGTGATTTATATTTATCATTTTTTATATAACATTATTAATGCCTAGAATTTAATTAAAAAAATGGATACACTTAAAAATGCCTGCCTGTATAATCTTACTTTGTTTACGCATATGCGTTGTAAAAAATTACGCTACCCCATTACAAAGCCTCTACATTTTTTTAAACTACACGGACGGACCTGTCCGTTTGTGCAACAGAGAAAATTGTTGCTTGGGCCCACCGCAGCTAAAAGTGCGTTCCGATATTGTGTTGCGACATTTTTATTTACAATCAGTTTTTATTATTATTTATATACACACCGGCACAATTAGCGGAACACAAAAAAAAGCAGGATTTTAAAATCTTTTACTTGAGGAACTGGCCAGTTATGATATTTTTTTAATTTATTGTCAAATTTGAAAATAGAAAATTAGATGACATACACTTTTTTTATTCATTTGTTTTATTTTCCCGAACAATACGTTTTGTCAACTTGTTCGAGTAACAACTACGTAATTGTATTTTTTTTGAAAAATTGCACTTAATGGTTTTTTATAAATTTGTTATTCTATAGGCAATTTTGTTTATTAAAAGCTCTTTATTATGCCTGACTTAATATCACTGGAAATCATTAGGGCTGATGAAATGAGGAGAAATGGCCATACCTACAGATCGATTGCCTCAAGGCTTCGTCGACCAGTATCAACGATTCATCGCAGCATCCAGCGGTACAGATCGTCTAATTCTCTTTTGAGGAGGAGGGGTCAAGGTAGAAAAAGATGTACATCGAGGCGAGATGACAGTTTTTTACAACTTGGAGTTCGTAGGAATACGCGATTAACGGCTGTACAAGCTCGAAATGAACTGGAAGACGTTCGAGGAGTACGAGTAAGTGAGCGTACAGTTCGCAGGAGATTTGAAGAAGTTGGTTTAGGGTCGTATATACCTGCCAAAGGCCCAAAACTTGAGAGACGTCACCGCGTAAACCGATTAAGCTACGCGCGAGAACATCGTCATTGGGATTTGAACGAATGGCAGCAGGTTCTCTTTACTGATGAGTGCAGAGTTCTTTTAAAACAGATCGATGGGAGACAGCGAATATGGAGACGCAAAGGAGAACGCCACATACAGTCTAATTTTGAACACACAGTGGCTTATGGTGGCGGCTCGATTACGGTTTGGGGAGGGATATGTTTGGGAGCTCGCACGGAGTTAGTGATAGTCACAGGAGGGACCATGACAACAGATCGATACATCAGAGACATTTTAGAAGAACATGTTGTACCATTTGCCCCATTTATTGGTGACGACTTTATTCTAATGCAAGATAATGCTCGTGCTCATAGTGCACAATCGGTACAGGCATATCTGAGCCACGTAGCTATACCGGTGATGCAGTGGCCAGCAAATTCCCCCCGATATGAATCCGATAGAGCATGTCTGGGACTTGCTAAAAAGAAGGGTTAAATCCAGAATGCCACCCCCCAACAATCTGAATGAACTTGGAAACGCATTACTTGAGGAGTGGGGGGCGGTTGCCTCAAGAAATCATCGATAACATAATCTGTAGCATGCCCAGACGAATGGAAACCGTAATCAGAGCAAGAGGGGGAAACACTCGTTATTAATTTTGCTTTAATTTTATTGTTAAATCATTTAATGCTTACTTTTTTATTTTTTGTGATGGTTCATAATCATCTAAAAATTTCACTTATTTCAAATTTCTTTATTTTTCAATAAAAGATAACGAAGACTTTTCAAAGTCGTTGTTAAAAGATGTTAATCAATTTGTTATTTTGTGTTTAATTACATTTTCGTCAAATATATGCGTTATTATCTCATAGTCTCACTTTTTTTTCTGTTCCGCTAATTGTGCCGGTGTGTATATTTAAAAAAAGTCGCCCCGCTGTCTGTCAATGGCAACAGATTTTGATGCGGTTTTTTAATAGATAGAGAGATTCAAGAGGAAGGTTTATATAAGTAATTAATAATAAAATGCATCCGTGCGAAGCCAGGGCGGATCGCTAGTATCGTTTAATTGTCATTTTTAGAACTTTTAGTTACTTACTCGCAACACTTTGCTTGGCCATAGGGGGACAAGAAACCGGCTCGAACGACCAAAAAATGTGGTGGTAACTGCGTGTACCACCACACCTTAATGTCAATGTGGGATGGATGAGCTTATGTCAGTTGTATGGCTATGGCTTGTATGGCAGTTAAGGAATGTCAAAATAAACCGATCGATGTCATTGAATGCCTTTACTGCACAGAAATATATTAAAATTATAATTACGAACTAAAGTACAAACTAGGTCGCACATACGAGCGTTGCAAGTGTCAATATGCTGTGTGCGCAGTTTTGCTACACAATAGAAAACGTACGGCTTTGCCTGTACACACTTAAACACACACAAGCTCACCGGACAGGAGCGCGCTCCTCGCCAACACCGGCACGAGCACGGCGACCGTGTCCTTGACGTTCCTCTCGACCGGGTCCGTCAGGAAGGCGAAGGTCACCTTCTCCAGCTGCTCGTACTTGTGGTCGGCCACAGCGCAGACCAGGGCGGCGGCGCGGAGACCCAGCGCGCGAACCTTGACGGATATAATTGTTGTGGTAATAAGGTTCACTTTCTTCGTAGGGATTGGTGACAGAAATACGGTGTCAATAGTACGCTGGTTTATTAGCAACTAACTTTAAAAAAAACTTTTGCTGTAACAAATGGTTACACACTAGTGCATACTGTTCATCTTACTCGCGCTCACATAAATATACATATTAGATCGAACAATAATGTAATATAATATATACAACATGGCGCTACTAACACGACATTAAATCAGCACACATATAGAGGATAACTTTTTGTTATTGTATTAAGCATTTACTTTCTTTAAATATGAATATTTACAGAGATATTAAAATAAATAATTTTAGAACACCCTTACGAGACAAAACACACTGTTTTGTCTCGTAAGGGTGTTCTAAAATTATTTATTTTAAAATGCTGTGGCAACAAAAGTTTTGTTGCCACAGCATTGCATTACAAGCCTCTCCTTCTAACAGTATGTTTTGTCTCATTTAAATTCATTCAACCCATTCATATGCTTTGTGACCTTTACAAATGAACTTTACGTTACGCTTTTATAGGTAAGGGTGTTCTAAAATTCTTTGTTTTGGAAAATTTAATAACTCTGTAAATATTGATGTTTAAAGAATTTAAATGTTTAATACAACTTTTAAAAGTTATCCCCTAAATGTGTGTTCATTTATTGTCGCGATGGTAACGACACGCTATATACATGTAAGTATGGTATACGATATTTTTAATCATTTTATTTACGTCGTATTAAGTACATTAATATGTATTAGTGACGTCTATGTCAAGTAGGTATTTAATTTTCCCATACTCTTTGTGATTGACACTTGAAATCTTGAATGCCACTTTAGCATTACCAACCTCCACAAGTTAACTGGCAGAAAATGCTATTTAGCATTAAGTCAAATTTTAAAAAAACATTGCCCTTACTTTATAATAACATTTTCCCTTGTTGTAAGGATATTTTACAAACATAAATTTCACTTGGACAAATGCCCAGATGCGAAACAACTATCAATGGGTCACACAAATAGTCGATGGAATTGAGTTGTACCACGTGGGAATCGAACCCACGACCCTCGACGCCGAAGTCGATACCTTAGCAACTGTGTCACGCAGTCCTCAAACGAAAAACAAAACCTATGTGCAAACTTTTTTGTGCAATTGAAAATTTACAATCAATCGACCTCTCCCTCCCCGGAGTCGCACATGAGCATCGCCAGGCTGAGCAGCAGCGACGTGCACAGCTCGACGGGCACGTAGGGCGCGACCGCCACGCAGATCTGGCTCGCCAGCGCCCGCCGCTCCGAAGAGCGGGACGCGAGCAGCTCCGCCACGGCGGAGAGCACCTCGGCGGCGCCGCCCCACTTCACCACCAGGCACACGGCTGCCGATCGACAAATTAGTATAAAACACTTTCTGTTTGGTCGATATTTATTTATTAATATTTAAAAATATACGCTATTTCATTGCGAACACGACGATGTAAGCCTGTCTGCAAAAATTCCTCGGTTTGAAGAAGTATTTTGTAGAATTTTGAAAAGTTAAACTTTAATACGAATGAAAACTTGCGACACAGATATCGTCGCAAGTTTTCATTCGTATTTGTTGTATTGGTATTTTGATTGATACAGATTTGAAGGGAGCATAATAGTGTCGCGAAAATCAAACAATACCATAGGGGAGGGAACACACCGTCGCGAATCAACAAAAATCATCGTATATTTGAGAGCATGCCGTCGCGAATAAGCAAACAGCATCATACCGGTAGAGTACACCGTCGCAAATAATGAAACATCATCATAAGGGTAGGAGCACATCGTCGCAAATAATGAAACAACATCCTAAGGGTAGGAACACACCGTCGTAAATAATGAAACATCATCATTAGGGTATGAGCACACCGTAGCAAATAATGAAACATCATCATAAGGGTAGGAGCACACCGTCGCAAATGATACGCGCGTCCGCCGGCTCGGGCTTCTTGAGCAATGTGAGCAGCGTGTGCAGGAGGCGGGCGCGGCGCGCGTCCGCCGCGGCGGGCAGCAGTGCAGCGCCGGCTGCTAGCAACGCCGCCACCTCCCCGCGCCGCGACACCAGCGTGTGTGGCACCACCTTTACGTACAGACCAACTGTGAAGCGGTTCCTTTTAATGGAAGCAGACGTAAGCAGCAAGCGAACAGGCGTTTCACGTTATGCTCTACGATGTAAATAATTAATAGTTAATCTATATAGTTATTACCCGGGGAAGCGTGTCGGCTACTAGTAGCAGCAAGCCGGGCAAAGTGATCGGTTTGTCGCTGTTCACCAACTCCGCCAGTAGGTCGTTCGTTAGTGGCTCGTTAAGGTTCAGCGTCTCTGAACACCAGTTCAATAATGGCTCCTTCACCGCGTCTGGTATGCCACTGGTAAAATTTAATAATGCATCTATTGATTTATTTATCTATTTACTACGGCTACTATTGATATAAAAGTGCATGAACTAAAATGCCATTACCGTGATAGTGTTAAAATATAAATTATATAAATAAAGTTTTGTTGATTTAAAATAACATAAAATTGATTATTACGATGAAAACAAATTAATGAAGACGAGAACTTCTAGGTAAAAAACAATTCATTTTAAACGTAACGTTCTTCTTGAAAGGATTGATATTCTTAAGACACGATACTCTTTTTTTTATGTGAAAAGTTGCCAAACGAGCAGACGGTTCACCTGATGTTAAGTGAATACCGCCACCCATGGACATCTACTGCACCCGAGGGTTACAGATGCGTTGATAACCTTTTGAAAATTGGGCTCCGGCTACCTCACTCACCAGACGATACGCCAAAGTATTTGTCATACTTCCACTTTACGCTGGTCTTGTGTGAGGTCGTGGTACTTACCCGGACGGGCCTGCCCATTCCTGCAACAGCCGAGGCTGCTGCGTGGCCCTACCACCGTCAAATTATTTAAAAACTCGCATTGAATTTAGAGAAATGTTTATAAATCTAAAATATTTTCAAACAAAATGGGTTAAAGCATCATGAAATTATGATAGCCCTTGAATAGTGGATATAATTAATTATTGTTCAAAAAGTTTCTGAATGGAACCTCCTATATTGGAACATTTGGTACAACCAGCACGCAGAATATGTCTTCGCTATATGGTTAGTATGGAATTTACTGCAGTAAACTGTCTTATATAGGTTTCGGAAAACAAATTTCCACTTCCACTTATAATTAATATTATCCCACCACCACACCACCCACCTGTCAATCCACATTTCCTTGGTGCTATTTTCTATCGTGTTGTATTCGTACTGCACGCGAGTCCAGTCGCCGGCGTCGTTCATACTGAGCGTCTCGTCCAAAGTGGTAACGCTGCCACGCCGCAGGGGGGAGCCCCGGGCGCTGTTGTCGCCGAGAATTGCGGGGTCGAAGGAGCTGGTGTTGGACCCTTCCTTCTTTCTGTGTGACGGAGACGTTGTACGGTTAAAATTGAGCCATTCGGGCGATGGAATTTTGGCGGTCTGATTATAAGTTCGGCGAATTGGTTCCAGACAGGCTCATCGCAAAGTCTATGGCAAGGTAACCAAATTCCAAATACGGTTGGGAGTAGAAGTTAAAATCGATTTTATGCTTTATTACAGATCAGCGTAGTTGTCGACGAGACTGTTTAGATATAGAAATTACAAGCACACGTATGATGTGCTCATAACGGCAGTTCTTTTTATTTATAAAGTAGTCAAAATAAAAAGAACCATAGAGGTCTACCGTTGTGCGCATACCACGGAAAACCTATTGGATAGACTTCAATTAATTCTTCTAAGTTTTATTTCTTAGAAACTTGGCCCTAAATACAACTTCTAAACATCTAAAAAATAAATTATTGTGGTATCTTCATTCATTCATGTATAAGCTGTTCCGTGATTATCCCTCTACACATAAAATACATTGATAATAGAATAAGCAGCGCAAACTAAGTCGCGGGTATCAGCTGGTGGTATCAGCACATAATCATGTTCGTTAAGGTATGCCGAAAAAATATCGATATATCGATAGATTCAAAGCCGACATATCGATACAATTCTTCACTTTCAGCATCCCTACATTCGCTTCGGTTAAGACAACTTACATTCCGAGGTTTTTCTCGCTTTCGATGATTTCAAACTGGTCCGGAGTAGCGCTGTTGGTAGACTGGCCGCTTCCGTAATGATTCTCTGCCGCCGTGCAAGTGATGGGCCTGGTTTGCAGGTGTTGCGGCGTTTCATGCGCCGGGGGCGACTTGTCCCTCTGTATTTGCAGGTCGAGTGCTCTGCTTTCGGACGTTGGGCTGGTGAGGGAGTTCAGGCTCACTATCGCCGCGTCGTACAGCTTTTGGAAGTTCAACTTCTCCGTCTCCAGAGCTATCACTTTCTGCTTCAACAGCTCTATTTCCTCAGCTTGAATCAGCAACTGGAAAACGGAGAGGTACACTTCGATTAGGTACGCGAAAAGGCAAGTTCTGATAGAGAACTTACATATGTCAAAAAACAAGTTAGTGTTTTGCTAATCGAAACGGATTGCATTATGTTCATAAATCGTTTTTTTATTTAGACTGTTGTGTGTTGGTATTGTGAAAATTTTAATTCCTGTTCAGAGAAAGTTCAAAAAGATAAAAATACTTTCTTATACCTCGTGGTTCCAATCTGAGTCGTTGTCAAGTGAAGTCTGGCAACTAACACACACATTGTCATACTCAGCATCAGTCTGGCAAACCATATCAGTCACGTTTATAAATTCGATTTGTGTGAATGCATCTGTGGTGGATACGTTGAGTGCTCCTTTATTCCCCCTAAACAGTGATACGAGCCCCGCCGGACGGGGCATATTAAGGCCCACATCGTCCCAATCTTCAAACTCCTTTAAAAGTAATCAATATTCTTCAATCAGTTTAAAAAAGACGCAAAAAGATAGTTTAAACCAAAGTCAGTAAAATCGTAGAAACACAAAGACAAAAAGATCATAGCAAAATTTTTATTTTCTTGTCACACAACTAACCAAATCCAATAATTGATTTTTATAAGTTACTTGTTCTTACCTGGTCAGGATTTTCATCGGAGAATGTGATGGAAGTAAGTTTGTAATTTTGAAGTAAAAGGTATTCATTGATGAGGAAATTTAATGCGCGCTTCTCATGCGGCTTCAGCGACCTTTGATCAAAATTGTTCTTTGTGTTTTTATCCAAAGCAGACTCACTGTCTGGTAATAAAAAAATCCATGTAATCCTTACATTTGTTAATAATGCTGTCAAAATTATTACAAAATTCCTTAGTATTAAATTAGTTAAATGTGACAGCTTATTTTGCAGTAATTTTTGACACATTGTGTTCATTTTAATAATTTTAAATTTGTAAAAGCAAGATGGATCATTTACAGTGCATTCCATCATTTTAGCAAACTATTCTAGTAAAAAATTTACCAGCAAATTGCGTGAGATTAGCGCGTAAGGCATTAATCGTTTCTCTGGCTTTCCGTAATTCAAATTCAAGCACAGCTACATCGCCGCCACTTCCTGCACGGTCGCCTCCCCCGTCCTCAGAGTATCGGGCTGTATCCAATGAATCTAAAGTAGCCTGGCTTGGTGTTCGATCTGTAATGTTTTGTTATAAATTTATTTTCTTTTTAACATTGAAATTTGAAAAATTATTTGAAATGATTTAAATATTTAATTTAAGCTAGCAGATTATAAACAGAAGATAAGTTCCAACAAAAATGAAGTTATATGTATATAATATACAGGATGTCTGATAACAATTTTTACATTTTAAATGCTCATAGTAAATAAAATAATAATAATAAAGAATCATGGTTTGGGAAAGTGCATTTGTGTAACATTGTAACACAAATTGCACTGCGCCGCAAGGAGTGAAAAACACAATTATAAGAAATAACTGTTAAAAAAAATGAACACTTTGCAGATGTATAATTAATTCCTAAAATTTTTATGCCTATTTTAAAGTTGGTTTTGATTGTTTAATTGATCAGGAGTAATAAAATGAGAATTATAAATTGTATGTGATGTTAACCTCTGTAACACTATTAAAATTTTTAAAAACAGAAACAGCAAATTAAAGTAATGAAGAATAAATACATGGATTTCCGTTCTTTTGAACAACAAAAACACAGCTTTTTAAATTAATGCTTATTTTGCCATTCGAACGAGAGATGTCGCCATTGCGTTTTTTTATAAATTTCAGGCCGCCAATGCCGAAGACGTGGGTTCGATTCCCACAGCGGCGCCAATCTTTTCGTACTTTTTCTACATGTTTTAATGTTCAATCTTAAGTGCAGAGATTAGCACTACAAAAAACTTTAAAAAAATTTATAATGTGCAACATTTTAAGACAAACAAAAAAATCATTCTTCATAATCAATTGGGTGCTACAATAACAAGTAGAAATTAAGCTATTAATGTAAAAAGCTCAATTTGTCAATATATTACCAACTCAAATTTAAATTCTCATACACATTTTTATAATAATTACTTGGTATGTTAAGCTTAAACAGTCCAAAAGTTTTGGAATGTTGCACAGTTTTTTTTACAATACAGAAAATCTTTCGATACTTTCTTATTCCGGGGAAGTAAATAATTATATAGAATAATAAAAAAACATAAAAACCATCAATATGATGGTTGCTTATACTTGAACATACTTTTGTCATAGTAATATGTCCAATTTCAGACTTCATTAACATTTATATAATCAAAAAGAAGCAAATATCATTGAAGTCTAGTACAAAATCATACCTGTGTAATGTGTAGCCTCCTAAAGAACTAAATATATGTGTAGGTTTTGGACCACATATTAAATGTAACTAGATGTCTCATATCTCAATAGAAAAGAAACACAATAGAAATGGAGATTAATATAAATCTCAGTAGAATACCTTTTAGTCGAAAGTGTTAAGTTCAATTAAGGTAAAATCGTAAATGCTCCATTTGCAATTTTACCTTACATTGTATTATTATACCAATGTCTCTTATTTTAAGATGTTATATACATCTGTACAAAATAAATTATTCTTATTACATTTTAAACTTACCTGTAACTTTTTCATAATATCAATTTATACTTACGCATTGACCCAACATCGGGTGGCCTAGAAACATGCTGTTCAAAATTTCCCGGATTTGAAAAAAATTCTCTCAATTGTGGAAGTTCTTTTCCATTTTCTACTAACTCTGTATGCAGCTCTAATGCCGTTAAAAAATAACGGTCCTTGAGAAGCTTAGTAGCTATATCTTCATAAGCTAAATAAGGAGCAGCAGCAAAAGAACTGTCTTCAATATCTTTATAGGGATTCATTATTTTAAAATGTCTTCACATAACAGATATTTTTACCGTAATTAAATTTTAATACGTACATTAGTTAGATATAAAAAACATTATTATTGTAACATTAATTCGATTAACAAATAACAACACATGAAATTATTGCTATGCCTTAGAACAATATTTAGATGACAAGCTATAGACAACTCAGACAGATGACTGACATTGACGTTTCAGCTAGAGATGAGGCGTATATACTGGTACAGGTATACCCAATATGAATTGATGCCAGACTGTGCATGTACGGCAGAGCCCCGTTCCGGACCCAATAGGTATTGTCGATATCGTGAGCTCGCGAGTACGTGGACCTAGCGCCGCCTGGAAGGTGGCGGTATTTCATAACGTTTGCGCTCGACCGCCTGTGACATTTTGAATTTTCTGAATTATACCAAATAATTCCTTGAGATAAATTTATTCTTTATTTCTATGATAATTAGGTAGATAAATAATTAAGTAATTAGGTGAAACAGTAATCTTTATTTTTAATTACTTTTTTTGGTAATAGGGTTATATGGTATAGGGTTAGTTTAGTAATAGGGGTAGTAATTGTAATTGATTCGATCGAGTCTCCAAAAGGAGTCCTGAACATACTTAATAACTATAGGTATTTTGATACATTTAGGAAGGTTTTTTTTTAATTGGCTTGGAATTTGGTTTTGATTTTGATTGGCGATTTTTTGAATTATTTTAAGAGTATTTTTTTTGAACATTTGGTAACACTGGTGTGGCGTTGACATAATTAATAATTATCGCTCTTTCAGTTCTTTGAGTAAAAGCAGTTAGTTTAAGCAGTAGAGATGGGTCGTATCGCTTTTTCTGAGTACCGTATCTGAATCAGATTTCGATTTCAAATATCAGATTTCGAAACTATGTATTTTAATATCTAGATATTTTACGGTCCCGTATCCACCTTGAAATCAAAAAAAAATAATAATAATAACTTTGCTTTTTGCTTTTAACGGCTGGGTCATGCCAGTCCTCATGTATACCTTTGGCATACTCAGGTGGACTCAAACTGAGCTCAACGCCCTGGACCGAAAAGTCCGTACAACTATGACGTCCCACAGAATGCATCATCCGAGATCGTCAGTGATGAGGCTGTACCTGCCGCGGAAGCATGGCGGGAGAGGCTTTTTAAGCGCCCTCACCATGCACAATCGCGAGGTGTGCAGCCTCCGTAACTACTTTCTGGCGAGATCAGATGAGTCAATCTACACGGACGTCATTAGTTGTGATAAAGGACATACCCCTCTATCCTTAGCCAACGAGCAATGGCAGGACCCGGGAGTACTGTGCGTTTCCGACCGAGAGGCTGTATGGAAGGAGAAAGAGCTCCACGGGAGGTTCTACAAGGCTCTACACGAGCCTTTCGTAGATACTGTTGCCTCCCTGAACTGGCTACGTTTCGGTGACCTCTTTGGGGAAACCGAAGGTTTTGTCTGTGCGATACAGGATCAGGTTATTAAGACGAACAACTATAGGAGATACATCCTAAAGGATGGCACCGTCGACATCTGTCGAGCTTGTCGCCATCCCGGGGAGTCGCTTCGGCATGTTATTTCCGGTTGTTCCATGCTTTCTAACTCTGAGTATCTGCATAGACACAACCTAGTAGCCAGAATCTTACACCAGAGCTCGCTCTGAAACACGGCCTCGTGGTTCGAAAACTGCCGTACTACAAGTACTATCCGGAAGCCGTGCTCGAAAATGACCGCGCCAGGCTCTATTGGGACCGGCCCATCATCACGGACAGGACGATTGTTGCGAACAAACCTGATATCGTGGTGATGGACCGGGCACAGTCGCGGGTATTTTTGGTCGACATTACCATTCCATATGACGAAAACCTCGTGAAAGCCGAAACAGATAAGAAGACAAAGTATCTGGACCTGGCTCACGAGGTGACCGACATGTGGGGTGGTGTGCCGACTGAAATTATCCCAATAGTCGTTTCTGCCAATGGGTTAATCCCAGTCAGCCTCTCTAAACATCTGAGGCGACTGGGACTCCGGGACGGATCGCTCCAAGCTCAAATGCAGAAGGCGGTGCTCCTCGATACCGCCCGCATCGTCCGCCGGTTTCTCTCCCTTTCGCCCTAACCCTCGGCCGTTTGGTCTCCCCTGCCGAGGGCTTCCGTCTGGTTGGGTCCTATTTATATATGTATTATATAAAATATTTATATATATATGTTTATTTTTATCCATAATATTTATTTTATATATGCAATATATATCTTTATTTTTATTTTTATTTATAAACCCAACCAGACGAGAAAACAAATGAATATCCCCCTATAATAATAATAATAATAAAAAAATATATTTCATTAAAAATAGAAATTGAAGTAATATAAAAATGATTTATTTCAACATCTTATATATCGCTTAATAATTGACTTTAACATATTCTTAGAACACGCAATCATGAGTGACAATATTTTTATAATTTGTGTAAGAAATAATACATTCAGTATTATAACTTAGGGCGGAAGAATTTAAAATATACACACAAAGCACATAAGCCTTGGTCTGATTTCCACCCAAGCAGCACAGCACTATTAAATTATATTTTTCTTTTTGTGTAGTTTTATTTTTTTTCCAAAAATATGAATAAAATTTAACGAATAAAAATATTCACAAAAAATTTACCTCCTAAAAAATTTCCATTTAAATTTTCTTCCTTAATTTAGGCAGAAAATTCTTAAGTAGTAAGTTGGCATCCCTTACTATTACGTGCTAGGTACCAATGCAATCCAGCTCAAGGTTAAACAAAATTTAAAGACATCGTTAATACCGTAATTCGTATTTAAATGCAACTAAAAATGTTTTTTTCCATGCTGTTAAGATTCAAAATTACTTAACTGCGCGCTTTGTCGCCCGTTACGGCTCAAGGCTAAACAAAACAATAAAAATATACTTAATAATATCGTTGTAGTAATCGTTGATAGCATGATTAGTATGTGATTGAAACGGATCTTATTTGCATGGTATTAAGATTCAAAATTACTTAACTTATTTAAAATATCTGGTTAAAAATCTGATATCGTGCATTGCTTGCCGTCCCGCTCTAACTAGTGAGTATTTATATCTCACGCGCTTTGTCGCTCGATATCTGATATCGTGCATTGCTTGCCGTCCCGCTCTAACTAGTGAGTATTTGTATCTCACGCGCTTTGTCTCTCGAAATCTGTTTAAAAATCAGATATTGTGGCAAACGCGTATGATATCGCGATTCGTGTCGGTATAGCGAGCGAGCACGTTACATCAGATTTCGGAAATATCAGATATTGTAAAATACATAGATATTGAACGAGCCAGTAAGCGATATTCGGATATTGTACTAATATCTAGTTTTCATATCTGATACGATATGTATCGCCCACCACTAATAAGCAGTTAGTTAGTTTCAGTATATGTCTTATCTATGAGTAAAAGTGTTCTGTGAACTATCGTGATATCGTCTATGACGTTGTCCATTGACATAAGCAACCTCAAAAAAGGCAAAAAGCGACAGTTGTTGTTATTGTTAGGTTTATGAATAATTGACTTTTTAAAGTCATAATATTATTATATTAAGCTTTTTGAAGTCTTACACTAGATGAATAATATATTCTATTATAAAAGTGTAAATATCTACTAATAGCTTTCATTGCTTAACTATACAGTTAGTCCTAAATTATATTATATCATAGGTATTGTACATATTTGCAACAGTGATCCAAACATGGGTGAAACATATTATAGTTTAAAACGGAAACTAGAAGAACTGGGATACAACTATAATTTGTCAACAGATGCAGTCCCTTTAGTTGAATGTATCTTAGCAGATTTGTTACAAACCACTCGAAGCTTACAGCACTACATGGATTTATCTAAAGAAGCACTCATGCAACGTGATTCCCTAATAATGGAATCAGAGCCCTACAAATGTGACAATGCTAAATTAATCAGAGAAAACAATAAGTTGCATCAGGATATAATTGAACTGAAAGAAGAAAATAGTAGGCTTTCTAAAGATAGTAAAAGACGAATAAAAGGTTTATCTGATGAATTAATAAAAAAAGATACGACAATTAACAAGTTGCAGCATGATATTAGAGATTTAAGTTTAAGAACTTTATGTACTAGTACACAAAGTAGTCGCAATAGAAGTAGGAGAAAGGAAGATGAAACTAATGCAGAAAACATTTGCATTTGTAATAATAAAAATAAACTTGATTCAGGTAAAGAAGACAGCCCTGAGCTAACTAAAAACATTATTTTATTACAAGAGGAAAATAGAGCTTTAAATGATGAAATTTTACTACTTAAAAGCCAAGTTGAGCATAGAGATGATGAAATTGTAAGACTTAACATGTTATTAGAAGGTGGTAGACCTTTGACAGCTGTTTATAAAGATTTTAACAAAAGCCAACATGTAGCAGATATATCAATATCCAATAAGTTAAAACAAGTTCTACAAGAAAATCATTGTTTAAAAAAAGAAATTGAATGTGGCCTAGAAAAGCAACATGAAGCAATGTTAAGAGCTTTAACACTTGCAGATGAAAATAAAATTTTAAAAGAGGAGCTACAAAAGGTGGACAAATTGGCATTACAGGTTGAAGATGAGTGTAACAAGAAATTAGCTAGTGCAGCTAATGAAATAAGTTGTTTACAATTAAGAATACAAAATTTAAGTATGAAAAATGCAGAAATGGAAAAAGAGCTATCTAAATCTGATAAACAAGAATTGTCAGCATATTCAAA